TTTTTTCCTTTATTTATTCACGGGATGTGAGCGTCGCTAGCCAGGCAGCATTTATTACCCATCCCTAATTGCCCAGAGAGCAGTTCAGTGTCAACCACATTGCTATGGGTCTGGATTCACATGTAGGCCAGACCAGGTAAGGACGGCAGTTTCCTTCCCTAAAGAACATTAGTGAACCAGATGGGTTTTTCCAACAATCGGCAATGGACTCACAGTCATCATTAGACTTTTAATTCCAGATATTTTATTGAAATCAAATTCCACTGTCTGCTGTGGCAGGATTCGAACCCAGGTCCCTAGAACATTATTTGGGTCTCTGGATTAACAGTCCAGCGATAATACCACTACACCATCACCTTCCTTTAACATGACAAGAACTACACATGGCACTCCAAGTGTGGCCTCACTAAAGTTTTATACAGCTCCAAACTGACTTGCCAACTTTTATACTCAATGCCCTGACCAATGAAGGTAAGCATGCCATACGCCTTCTTTACCACCTTATCCACTTGTGGTGACACTTTCAGGGAGCTATGAACTTGTACCCCAAGGTCCCTCTGTATGTCAATGCTCCTAAGTGTCCTGTCATTTACTGTATATTTTCCTCTTGCATTTGACCTCCCAAAATGAATCACCTCACACTTATCTAGATTAAACTCCATTGGCCATTTCTTCCCCACATTCTAACTACTGCAAGGAGGCCTGTACATAACTCCCATTCAGGGTCTTTTTTCTTTTGCAGTTCCTCAACTCTACCCACACAGATTCTATGCTTTCTGTTTCTATATCACTTTTTCCGTTTGATTTAATTTCATTTCTAAATAACAAGGCAACCCTGCCCCTCTGCCTGTCTTTTCGATAGGATGGATATCCTTGGATATTTAGTTCCCAATCCTGATCCCCTTACAGCCATGTCTCTATGCTACCCACAACATCATACCTGCCAATTTCAATCTGCACTACAAACTCATTTACCTTGTTTTGTACACTGTGTACATTTAGTACAACACCCTCAGCCCCGTGTTGACTGCCCCCTTTCTCATGGTTGCCCCATTAGCTGAAGTGCCTAAAGGTAGATTCTTGGCTCTTTCCGTACTCTCTGTCCTATTATTTGTTCTGGAAATTTTAACTTCTGTTGAGTCCTCCCTCCCTTTTGTTTTTTCCATAATTTTCCATGCAAATGAACCCCTGCTCCACAACCACTGTTTACTTTAAAGCCCTATCCGTAGCCATAGTTATACAATTCGCCAGGACTCTAGTCCCAGCATGATTCAGGTGGAACCTGTCCCATTACAACATCTCCCCCCCACCTCTGTACTGATGTCATGTCCCATGAATTTGAACCTGTTTCTCCCACACACCAATCTTTGAGTCACATATTCACCTCTTTAATCTTGTTGACCCTGTGCCAATTTGCTCATGGCTCAGGTAGTAATCTGGAGATTATCACCTTTTTGGTTCTGCTTTCTAATATAGCCCCTAGTTGCTCCTAACTCTCAGCAGAACCTCTTTCCTCTTTCTAACCTATATCGTTGGTACCTACATGGACCATGACAACTGGATTTCTCCCCTCCCCCTCCAAGTTTCTCTGCAGCCCAGATGAGAAACCCTGTACCTGGGCACCAGGCAGGCAAGTGAACCCTTCAGGACTCTCAATCCTGGCCGTAGAGAACTGTCTATTTCCTTCACTATCCCCATTTACAAGTACATTTCTCTTTCTCCTCCCTCTTGAGTAGCTCCTTGTACCATAGTGCTGTGGTCAGTTTACTCATCCTCCCTATAGCCCCCACTCTCATCCACACAGGGAGCAAGAACCTCAAACCTGTTAGTCAAACTCAAGGCCTGAGGCTCCTTCATCCCTCCTGGATCCCTCTACCTGCCTCACTCATAGTCACACCCTCCTGTCCCTGACCACTGACCCAATTCAACTGGTTAATCTAAGGGATGTGTCTGCCTCCTGAAACGTCCAGGTAACTCTCCCCTTCCCTGACGTGTTGCAGTTTTTGAAGCTCAGACACCAGCTCATCAACTGTGAGCCAGAGCTCCTCAAGCAACCGATGCTTCCTACAGATGTGGCCCTGATGAACCACAATGAGATCCACCAGCTCCCACATCGTGGAGATGCAAGACATTCCCTGGCCCCTATATTTTAATTACTTAGTTCTTGATTTGATTATTGAAAATTTAAACCTGGTCTTTTCGTTTGTAGCCTGTAAATAATTCCCTTATTTACCTTCAATCTGAAAGTAGCCTATAATTGATAGTTAGATTAGTAGCTATCACCAACCAATGAACTAATAGTTTACCTGTGATGTCACCCTTTTGAACTGGGCCCCTGATCCTGGGCTTCAATAAATCCTGTTTAAAACAAAACTTACAAACTATGAACTAAAAATAGCAAGCAAAAAGTGCCTCTTCCCCTCTGCGCCGAATTCCCACGTTGCCCCCAAATTCCCTGAACTATATATTCACTCATGTCTCACACTGGATGGGATCTCGCCTTCCTGAATCTCTCCTTCCTCTGATGGGATGCCATCCAGTAGTTTAAACATTCGTTCCCTTCACCACTGATGCTCTGTAGCAGTAGTGCGTACTGTCTACAATGTGCATTGCACCAATTCACCAAGGTTCTTTTGCTTGCAAATTCCAAACCCACAACTGAACGAACAAGGGCAGCAGACACATGGGAACACCACCTCCAAGCCAGTCACCATGCTGACTTGGAAATATTTCGCTGTTCCTTCACTGTCATGGGGTCAAAATCCTGGAACTCCCTGCCTAAGGCTGTGTGGGTTAATCTGCAGCACATGGATTGCAGCAGTTCAAGAAAGCAGCTCACCCCCACCTTCTCAGGGGCAGCTAGGGATGGACAATTAACACTGGACCAGGCAGCGTTGCAGGTGAAAGAATAAAAAAAGTGCAAAAGGAGAGGAAATAAGCCATGGGATTAGGGAATTAAAATTAAAACATTACTTAACCTCTGCCACACACGATGTGATGAGTCTACCCATAAATAAAAGATATTTTCAGTCTCTTTCCCCCACAGGCACCTCATTCCAATGAGTACTTGTGCATTAAAATAAAAAATGTTGGGGTCATTCAGCTGAAAGTTCAGACGAATAAAATAAACTCTCCATCAGTATGTGTGCAACATCTCTAAGTGTCCTTTAATAATTGGTATAATATGATATATGGATGGTGTACCTAAATGATATGAATGGAACCATTAGGATGGTTAAGTCTTTATGCACAAATATCACTAAACGGAGATGGATGAGGCTAAATTAAGTTGTCAGCTTAAGAACGGGCATTTATTTAATTCTGAGCCTCTTTACAAACACAAAAAATATTCCTCTCTGTTTATATTAGAATCTGTTGCCATGTCCTCTCTAAGGCATCTGTTCATGCCACTTCGAATAGCCAGGAAACAGCGGCCAAATGCACTTCAGGGGTCAACTCTTGATCCTTCTCTTGCACAATTCTGTTGACATAGCATCTTACAGAACCTTAGAACATTCCAACTCACTTTACAGCGAATTAATTCCTCTTTGAGAAGTGTCGGCGATGGTAAAATGTGTCAAAAGGTGACAATCTGTGCGTAGCACTCTTCCACAGACAGCAATGTGATTATATCCGAATAATCTACTCCTCAGGGTGAGTTCAGGGCTAGAGTTTGGCTGAAACATTAGGGAACCATCACTGCTTTTCTCCAAAGTATTGCCAGGGAGTCTTTTGCATGCACCTAGAAGGAGAGATAGGACCTTACATTAGCATTTTATCCAAATGTTGCATGTCTGCCAGAACAGCATTACGTCAGTGCTGCCCTGACAAAGTCAAACTTAATGTTGTGTTTAAGATCCTGGAATCACAAAGGCGTTACAGTTCTGAAGAAGGCCATTCAGCCCATTGTGTCAGCACTGGCTCTCCTAACAAGCGTCATGACTTAGTGCTGTTATTCTGCCCTATTCCTGTAAACCTGTACTTTGTTTCGATCTAAACAGTTATTTAATGCCTTTTAAATGCCTCAATTGAACCTGCCTCAATGTGTACCTGCTGCAGGCTGGTGTGGGGCCTGACCCAGTGGGAATGGCCACAGGCTTAAATCTCTGCCTCTCAAACACATTGTCGAGAAATTGTAGTTTTACATCCTGTCAAATTAAATCACCCCACATGCATTGTTTCCCACTTTTACCCTCAATTCTCCCAAAGCAGTGAATAACTGAAGGTATCGATGAGTGCCCCTCTTCCCTTTACATCATTATGGCCATGGGAGCAAGTTTCACTCCAGTTCTTGGGAACGTACCATTGGCTCAAATTCAACAACTGATGGAAGGGGCTCTCCTCCAGATCAGACGTTACTCCACAGGGTGTTAAGCATGTTAGATACTCATTGAGGTACCAAGGAGCCATCATCTGATTGCATAGAAGAAGAGGCTTGAGGCCTTGCATTTGCTTATATGAACATAATAGCCTCTTTCAATAATTGCTATGATTGTATGAATGGATGTTCTCAGTATTGAATGGTCTAAGTGATGAGTTTTACTTCCATAGACAGTGTCATTTCCTGAAATCATTCTCAATTGTCACTCAATAAATGGGTTTAGAGATAGTAGGAACTGCAGATGCTGGAGAATCTGAGATACCAAGGTGTAGAGCTGGATGAACACAGCAGGCCAAGCAGCATCAGAGGAGCAGGAAAATTTCTGAAGAAGGGTCTAGGCCCAAAACGTCAGCCTTCCTGCTCCTCTGAAGCTGCTTGGCCTGCTGTGTTCATCCAGCTCTACACCTTGGTAACTCAATAAATGGGCACTGTTTATATCATGATTTCCAAGGATTTCTGTATTTGAAATGCCCAGAATTGGTTCCCGAGCTGTCAGTTGAACATGGGACCCAGGTTCAACATGCCACTCTTTGTTAGATTAGCTGGTTTCAGACCTAAGACCTAGGAGTGGAAGGAAGCCATTCAGCCCATCAAAACCACTGTGCTATTCAACGAGATCATGGCTGATCCCAATTCCACTTTTCTCATCTCTCCATATAACTTGAGGTAAGGGTCTCAGAATCCCTCCACAGTTCGATAAGGTGCTGCTACTCAACGCTGAACACTGTGCTGGACCTTGTTTACATGGAGACACTGGGGTTATGCTCCTCAAAGCAGGGAATAATAAAGGGAGATTTCAAAACCCTTTAAGGTTTTGATAGAATAAGTAAGGAGAACTAGTGGCAGCAGAGTTGCCTTAAGGACATTGACAAAAGCACCGTATGTGATGTGAGGAAACATTTATTCACACACCAAGTCATTATGATCTGGAACATGCTGCCTGAATGATGCAGTATCAATGCTTCCTTTCAAAAAGGCATCAGACAAATACTTGATGCAAAAGGTTTGCAGGGTTATGGGGAAAGGGTTCAGAACAAAACTGTTGGATAGCTCTTTCAAAGAGCTGGCAAAAGCACCTCAGGCTGAATGGCCTGTTTTTGTAAACAACACATGCTGGAGATCACAACAGGTCAGACAGCATCCATGGAGAGAGAGCAAGTCTAGACTCGAAATAGTAGCTTGTTCTCTCTCCATAAATACTGTCTGACCCGCTGTGATCTCCAGCATTGGTTGTTTTCAGTACAGATTCCAGCACCTGCAGTAATTTGCTCCTACCAGTCCTATATCTGTTTTGTATTCTTCTATGATCAGACCATAATTCATGCTCACCTTAAGGAAGACAGCAAAGAGCAGTTTGTGTTCTGTGTCTCACCTGGTGCTTTCAAGAAATGGGAGTAGCGGAACAAGAAAAGGTGCTAAAAATTGGTGGCAAAATGAATGAGGAGAAAGGCCAATAGATCCCCTAGGCCTGAGGCTAAATGTTAATAAACCTCTCATTTACATCTGAAGATAGGGAAAAAAGTAGCTAAAAAGATAGTGGATGCTTAGGTAGTAATTGTTCAAGAAACCTTAGATTCTGGAACAGCCCGAGAGGTTTGGAAACTGCCAACGTAACACTCTTATTCAAAAAGGGAGGGGGACAAAAAAGAGGTAACTATAGGCTTAATGTCTGTCATTGGGAAAATGTTAGAGCCTATTGTAAAGGATGTGCTAGCACAGCATTTAGAAATACATCTTAAGATTAGGCAGAGTCATCATGGCTTTATGAAGGGGCCTGTCAAATTTATTAGAATTCTTTGAGGAGCTTTGAGGATAGATGAAGGGTAACCAGTAGGTGTAATATGTTTAGTTTTCCAAAAGGTGTTTGGTAAGGAACTGCATATAAGGTTACTTAATACAATAAGAGCCTGTAGAGTTGGAGGCAGTATATCAGCATGAGTAGAGGATGAGGTTAACTAATAGAGGACAAAGAACTGGGATATGGGGATGATTCTCAAGATGGCATCCTGTAACTAGTGGAATACCACAGGGATCAATGCTAGGGCTGCAATTATTAACAATATGCGGTAGTGACTTGGATGAGGAAAGTGAATGTACTGTAGCCAAGATTTTGGATGACACAAAAATAATTGGGAAAGCAAGTAATGGGGACAACAGAAAAAGACCGCAGCGGGGTATAGACAGGTTCAGTGAATGGGCAAAATCTTGGCAGACGGAATATAATGTGGAAAAATACGAGGTTTATGCAAATTGGCAGGAAGAATAGCGAAGTAGAATATTATTTAAATAGAGGATGACTGCAGAAAGTTACGGAGCAGAGGGATGAAGAGATCCTTGTCCATGAATCACAGAAAGGTAGCACCCAAATTCAGCAGGGATAAGGGGAAAGCAAATGGAATGTCAGCCTTTATTTCAAAGGGAAAACAATATGAAAATAAGGAATAAATACAGAATGTACTGGAGAAACTCAGCAAGTCAGGCAATATCTATGTAGAGAGAAAAATAAAGTTAACATATTGAGTGCTGTATTCAGCATTGAGTCATACCGGAGGAATTGTCTTAAGAGGAGTGGTAAAGTATGTTGGGCTTGTACTCATTGAAGTTTTAAAAAATAAGAGGTGATCTTATTGAAACATATAAGGTTCTCAGGGGACTTGACAGGAGAGATGTTGAGAGGTTGTTTCCCCTTGTGAGAGATTGTAGGACAAAAGGACATAATCTCAGAGTAAAGGATCATTATTTAAGACAGGGATAAGGAAGAATTTCTTCTCTCAGAGGGTTGTAAATGTGTGGATTTCTTTACCCTGGAGGCTATTAAGGTTGGGTTGTTAAGTATATTCATGGCTGAGAGAGACAGGTTTTTGCACAGTAAAGGAAACAAAAGATTATAAAGAGAGATCAGAAAAATAGAATTGAGGATTATCAGATCAGCAATGATCTCATTGTGTGGCAGAGTGTTTTTGATGGGCTGAATGGCCACTTTCTGAGGTCTTATGGTCTCTTGAAGCATTATGCAAATAGTCCACCTAGGGAAGAGGCCATATTAGATGTGGCATTGGGGAATGAGAGTGGTCAGGGGATTTAAATTTCAGTGAGGGAACATTTTGAGAACATGATCAAAATTTCTTAACTTTTAAGTTACTTATGGTTAAGGATAAGATTAGTTCTTGAGCGAAATATCAGGTGGGGGAAGGCTCATTAGCACAATCCTAGGCAGGAACTGGGGAATGTAGACTGGGGGTGGCAGTTCCAGGGTAAATCCACATCTGTCATAGGACTCTTTTAAAGGCCACTTGATTAGAGTTCAGGACCAGCAAGTTCCTGTGAAAATGAAGAATAAGGATGGTTATTCATCACAATAACTCCTCTGATCAGTTCTCAACCCAGTATCATCCATGAGTTCAGAAAGAAAGGAATGAGAATGGAATGTAGAAACTCTGATGAATTTCATCATAATTAATTATTTAAAAACACTAAAATGGCATGAAATGATCATAAGACTATTTTCAAGAAATGTAGGTCAGATAGAGCGTAGATCTTGCTCTGATAGCTTATTAAAGGTCTCAGTGTAATTATTGCCTTTCAATCACTCCCCATTGCTTATTATTTTGCATTTATTTCACCCACAATTCTGAGGGTTATACATTAATATCCTTAAATAAAACTAGCCCAAACATTCTCACGGCCAACTTGCTGACATCAGTTCACTTTCTCTTTTCTGTTCATTTCTTGCACCACGATAACTCAGTAAGTGCTTAACCATCAATTGCAAATTTCTCTAGTTTATCAACTCCTAGATAAGGACAGGGCTGCAGTCAATTATTCTACAACTTACCCCCGCCCCTAAATCCTGCTCCCAACTCCCCAGCCAGCATTTCATAACCATTTAGGTAAGTTCTTTAAATGTGTGGTCACTGCTGCAATGTAAGAAATTCAGCAGCCAATTTTCACACACCAAGCTCCCATGTGAAAAAAAGCAATAATCAACAGGTCAGTTATTTTAGCCAAAGTTAAAGCAAAATATGGAGGATGCTGAAAATCTGAAATAAGATCAGAGAATGCTAGAGAAGCTCAGCAGGTCTTCTAGTGTGGCATAGTGTCTCAGTGGATAACACTACTGCCTCAGAGCACCAGGTACCTGGGCTCAATTCCACCTTTAAACGACTGTCTGTGTAGAGTTTGCACATTCTCCCCGTGTCTGAGTGAGTTTACTCCAGGTGCTCTGGTTTCCACCCACAGTCCAAAGCTGTGTGGGTTAGGTGGACTGGCCACGCTAAATTGCCTGTAGTGTCTGGGGATATGCAGGCTAGGTGGGTTAACCATAGGCTCTTCAGAGGGCTTTATGCACTGAGCAGCCTGCTTCCGCACGGTAGGGATTCCATGATTTTGTCTGTGGAGAGATAAAAGTGGAGTTAATGTTTTGAGTCCAATGACTCTTTGAGATTCTGGTTCCCAATTCTGAAGTAGAATCAGATCGGACTCGAAATATTAACTCTCTCTGTCTTTCTCCTTGGATGCTGCTAGACCTGCTGAGTTTCTCCAGCCATTTCTGTTATCATTATTTGTCCTAGCGATGTTGGAATGAACAGTGAGGAGAATTCTTTAGGGTCTTCATCAAAATGTGCCATGGGGTCATATTTACATGTGGCTGAGAGGTCAGATACAGACTCAGTTTAACGTTTGAGGAACACAGCAGGCCAGGCAGCATCAGAGGAGCAGGAAAGTTGATGTTTCGGGTTGGAAACCTTCTTCAGATGCTCCTCCGATGCTGCCTGGCCTACTGGGTTCCTCCAGCTCCACACTGTGTTATCTCTGACTCCAGCATCAGTAGTTCTTACTGTCTCTCAGTTTAATGTTTTATGTGAAGGACAGCACCTCTGATGGTGCAGCATTCCTTCAGTACTGCACTGGAGCATAGGCTAAAATCTCTGGAGTGGGATTTGAATCCACAACATTCAGAGCTAACAGTGCTACCCACAAAGTTACAGCTGAGGTTGACTAAACTTATTTCTAATATCCTTCCAGTGTTCTGGAATAAATGTCTTCTGAACACCTTCCTCCTTCTGAAAAATCTGATACAGTGAAGAGTCATCAGCTGGAAAGAGACAGCAGAAACAAAGATTTAACATGAGTTCACATAATTATGAATGCATTCTTCAGATTTGCAATAAGATTAAAAGACACCAAGGATCAATGAACAGTTCAATCCTCTTAATTGGCATCTCCTGTTAGATATTAACCTGCTTAATGTGTTTTTAATTAGCATTGTACTGTTTGTATCTGTTCCATTTTGAAGACGAATGTTAAGGTTGACTGGTAACAATGAGCAGCTCTGCACGAGCTAAAATTCAACAGTGTAGGTTCTGCCTTTGTCATTAAAGCATCAAAGGTGCTGCCAGACCAATTGTTGTATCCTTTTGCTAGACAACAAAGGGATGTGAGACATGAGCGAGACTATGTACTGGGCAGACAGGTGGTACAGACTGCACAGGGTGACCAGTAACTAGTAACTCACACCAATGGTTGGTTCTGTAACTGAGGACTGGGCTGGTGGGAGTGTCATTTTTTAATTCATTTGACGTAGATACCACTGGATGGATCAGAATTTATTGACCAGCCCTTATTTCCCAGACGGTGGATGAGGGTCAACCACGTTGCTGTGGGCG